CCAACACAGGTCCATATAGTCAAAACTATGGTGTTTCCAGTAGTTATGTATGGATGTGAGAGTGACCATAAAGAAGGCTGAGTGCCAAAGAATTGATACTTTTGAACTATAGTGTTGGAGAAGAGTCTTGAGAGTCCTTTGGAGATCAAACCAGTCAATCCTAAAGGAAATCAATCCTGAATATTCATTGGAAGGACTGATGTGGAAGCTCCAATACTTTGGCCACCTGATGCAAAGGGCTGACTCATTGGAAAAGACCCTGATGGCTGGGAAAGATTGAAGGCAGGAGGAGAAGGGGACGACAGAGGATGAGATAGTTGGATAGCATCACTGACTCAGTGGACATGAGTTTGAGCAAGCTCTGGGAGATGGTGAAGGACAGGAAAGCCTGGCATGCTGCAGTCTATGGGGCTGGAAACAGTTGGACATGACTGACCAACAAAGAATTTCAATATGGTTATAGCAGAGCATTAAACTAAGTGCATCGTGCAACCTTGTACTACTACATGGGAAGCTGGGCTGAGTATCACCGCTGCTGGGTCTAAAGGTGCATTGGGCCCAGACTCTGTGGAGCAGCGATGCCCAAGGCACATCAGGTATGGGCACGAATGAGGGGAAGTTAAGTGGACCCCAGCATCAGAAGGACTGAGAGCAGGCAGTGAACTGTAGGAAACCTGGGTCCTGACTTGTTAGGGAGTTAAGTAAACTATCCTGTCCATGTCACAGTGTTGTTTCATCGTCCAGGAGCCTTCAGTCAATCTCCTTTAAATGGACTCCAGTTATGCTTCGTACTTTTTTTTCTAATAATTGTTTCTTTACTTAATTTTTGTGGTACAGGGTCTACTCTTCAGTTGCAGTGCATGGACTTATGGCGGTGGCCTCTATTGCTGCAGACCAGCTCTAGGTGAATTAATGGAACAGTGTTTTTTAGAATTATATTTGTGAACATAACTTTCAGAATTTATGTTAGGTAATCACTTGGCCCAAAGAATGATCCACACAGGCTATTATAGCAAATGACTTCACTCTTAGTGAACAAAGATATACCTGGCATTACTGTGGATAAACTTTTGCTTATATTTGAGATTAGTTTTTTAGAACAGATCCCCAGAAGTGAGAATACTGGGTCAAAGGTTTTTTGGGTTTTTTTTTAATGTAAGGCTCTTAACATTGGGTTGGCCAAGAAGTTTGTTCAGGTTTTCCATATGATGTTACAGGAAACCCTGAAGGAAATCTTTGGCCAATGTATATTTTCTATCTGCTTCCCAAAAAGGGTTTTTATCACTTAGCACTTCACCAATATATGAAGAAACTGCTTCATCTGTACCACAGCAATATAGGAAATCCTCATTCCATCACCTTTCCAGTTTGATATGTGAAATGGTATTACATGTATTAAATTTGGTTGCTTTTAAGTTATCAGTAAAGTTGAACATTTTAAAAGGCTTATTTGCCATTTGTAGATCTTTGACCAATTGTCTTTGTCCTTGAGTGTGTTCTTAATTTTTAATTACTGACTTCTAAGAGCTTTGTATACTTTCAAGATAATAAGCATTTGTCACTCTATTTATTGCAAATGTTTTCTCCAGAAAATGGTATTTTATATATCTCCAAATTTTAAGTAAACACAAACTATCCATTCCATTGGTTCTTTCCTTTGTGATCAAGAAATTATATCCAATTCCTATATTCACTATATAATGCTATACCCATCACAAAGTTTAGGACAGATCTTTTCAACTGTATTTAATTTTAATAATTTCAATAATAGTGATTTGTCAAATATTATATATATTTAACTTAATTTTTACATTTCCAGATGCCTTTTTGAAGTAAATTAGCAAATTGTAACAAAATTTTTCTATGCTATATTGCATCTCAGTTGTATTTTTCTTAATGGAATTTGCTTTAGACGAATGAAAAGAGGGGGCTTCCCTGGTGGCTGAGTGATAAAGAATTCTCCTGCCAATGCAGGAGACACGGGTTCGATCCCTGAGTAGGATCCCACATGCCACAGAGCAGCTAAGCCCGTGTACCACAATTACTGAGTCTGCACTCTAGAGCCACGAGGGTTGCCACAACTCCTGAAGCCTACGAGTCCTAGAGCCCCTGCTCTAAAACAAGAGAAGCTACTGCAGCGAGAAGCCCATGTACCACAACTGGAGAAAAGTTCAGGCAGCAGTGAAGACCCAGCACAGTCAAAAAATAAATGATTTTTTTAAAAAAGAGATGTCACAGACTAGGAGAAATATTTGCAAGATAAACTGATAAAGGACTTATATTCAAAATATATGAAGAACCCTTAAAACTGAGCAATAAGAAAACAAACATCCTAATTTAAACATGAGTGAATGATCTGAACAGACATCACACCAAAGAAGATATATAAATGGCAAATAAACATATGAAAAATGCTTAACATTATATTAGGGAATTGCAAATTAAAACAAAATACCACAACGTGCCTATTCAGTTCAGTTCAGTCACTCAGTCATGTCTGACTCCACGACCCCATGGACTGTAGAACACCAGGCTTCCCTGTCCATCACCAATTTCCAGAGCTTGCTCAAACTCTTGTCCATTGAGTCGGTGATGCCATCCAACCATCTCATCCTCTGTCATCCCCTTCTCCACTGCCTTCAATCTTTCCCAACATCAGGGTCTTTGCTAAAGACTCAGTTCTTCACATCAGGTGGCCAAAGTACTGGAGCTTCATAGCTTCAGCATCAATCCTTCCAATAAACACTCAGGACTGATTCCCTTTAGGATGGACTGGTTGGATCTCCTTGCAGTCCAAGGGACTCTCAAGAGTCCTCCCCAACACCACAGTTCAAAAGCATTAGTTCATCGGTGCTCAGTTTTCTTCATAATCAAACTCTCACATCCACACTTGACTACTGGAAAAACCATAGCATTGAATAGACGGACCTCTGTCAGCAAAGTAATGTCTCTGCTTTTTAATATGCTGTCTAGGTTGGCCACAGCTTTTCTTCCAAGGAGCAAGCGTCTTTTAATTTCATGGCTGCAATCACCATCTGCAGTGATTTTGGAGCCCAAGAAAAGAAACTCTGTCACCATTTCCACTGTTTCCCCATCTATTTGCCATGAGGTGATGGGATCAGATGCCATGACCTTTGTTTTTTGAATATTGAGTTTTAAGCCAGCTTTTTCACTCTCCTCTTTCACTTTCATCAAGAGGCTCTTTAGTTTCTCCTTGCTTTCTGCCATAACAGTGGTATCATCTGCATAACTGAAGTTATTGATATTTCTCCCTCCAAACTTGATTCCAACTTGTGCATCATCCAGCCTGACATTTCACATGATGTACTCGTAAATAAGCAGGGTGACAATATACAGCCTTGACATACTCCTTTCTCAATTTGGACCAGTCTGTTGTTCCATGTCCAGTTCTAACTGTTGCTTCTTGACCTGCACACAGATTTCTCAGGAGGCAGGTCAGGTGGTCTGGTATCCCCATCTCTTTAAGAATTTTCCACAGCTTGTTGTGATCCACAGTCAAAGGCCTTGGCGTAGTCAATAAAATAGATGCTTTTCTGGAATTCTCTTGCTTTTTCTATGATCCAATAGATGTTGGCAATTTGATCTCTGGTTCCTCTGCCTTTTCTAAATCTAGCTTGAACATCTGGAAGTTCTTGGTTCACGTACTGTTGAAGCCTGGCTTGGAGAATTTTGAGCATTACTTTGCTAGCATGTGAGAGGAGTGCTATTGTGCAGTAGTTTGAGCAATCTTTGGCATTGCCTTTCTTTGGGATTGGAATGAAAGCTGACCTTTTCCAGTCCTGTGACCACTGCTGAGTTTTCCAAATTTGCTGGCATATTGAGTGCAGCACTTTCCCAGCATCATCTTTTAGAATTTGAAACAGCTCAGCTGTAATTCCATCACCTCCACTAGTTTTTTCCCTAGTGATGCTTCCTAATGCCCACTTGACTTCACATTCCAGGATGTCTGGCTCTAGGTGAGTGATCACAATATCGTAATATAGCATATTATATTATGTAATATACACTATATAACACATTATACCTATATACATTTTATAGTATAACATATATATAACATATTATACTATGTAACACATTACATAATATAACCACAATAACAGACCCATTAGAATGACAAAAATCCAAAATACTGACACCACCAAATGCTAACAAGCATGTGGAGCAATAAGAACTCTCATTCACTACTGATGAGAATATAAAATGGAATGACTATTTGGAAGACATCTTGGCAGTTTCTTACAAAGTAAACACAGTCTTATTGTATGATCCATCAATCATGCTCCTAGGTATTTTCCCAAATTAGTTGAAAACTTACATTTACAGGAACCTACATAAAAGTGCTGCATTAGATTTATTGATAATTACCCCAAAATTGGGAATAAATAAGATGTCTTTCAATAGGTAATGTCTGGGGAAAGAGTATACTGAACAAATAAACAAGGGCAAAGACCTAAGGTAGGAATAGCATGCTTTTTCAAAGGACCAGAGGCTAAAGTGGTGGGAAAAGGTAAGTTAAAGGAAGTGAGATCAGAGAGACAACTAGGGCCAACCCACTTAGGTCTGGGTAGGGACTTTGGACTCTAAGAGTGATAGATGGGCAAACATTGGAGGGTTGAGCAGTATCATGTTATGACTGATTTACATTTTAACTGGATGACTTGGGTAGCTATGTAGCAAATAATCTACAATTCCTGCTTCCTCCTGTGAATGCTTGTGATGCTGTGATTTACAATAAAAAATATTCATTTAGTCTCTGTCCAACTCCTGGCACAGCAATTTCCAAGGTTTCTGTGTTAAGAAAGATAACAGTGTCTGTTTTTCTTTTTACTTATAACAAAGTCCTTTCAACAATATATCAGTTTGTGTTAACAACAGGAATTTGGGCAAACCCCTAAGTAACCCAAGGATGGAAACTAGTTGCCAAGGGAACCAACCTTGATTAGAGGGCTGGAACTTTCAGGCCTCCCCTCCCCCACCAAACCCCAACCTCCAGGAAGAGAGGCTAGAGCTTGAACTCCAACACCAACCATCAATGACTTAACCAATCATTGTCCCCAAAGGTACAGGGCTCAGCAGACTTCTGGGTAGACACATGGAGATGCAAGGGGAGGACTCAGTAGGAGACCTCAGGGGACTCTGCATCCACCCCCACACCTTACCCTGTGTTTTCCTTCCATCTGGCTGTTCCTGAGTTACGTTGTTGTTTAGTCACCAAGTTGTATCCAACTCTTTTGTGACCCCCTGGACTATAGCCCTCCAGGTTTTGTCTGTGGGATTTCCCAGGCAAGAATACTGGAATGGGTTGCCATTTCCTCCTCCAGGGGATCTTCCTGACCCAGGAACCGAACCCACGTCTACTGCATTGGCAGGCAGATTCTTTACCACTGAGCCACTAGAGCAACCCCCTGAGTTATACCCTTTTATAATCAATCAGCAATCTCGTAAATAAATATTTCCCTGAGTTCTGTGAACCTCTCTAGCAAATCAATTGAAATAGGGTGGTGGGAACCTTTGATTTATGGCCAGTCAGGCAGAAGCACAGGTGATAAACTGGATTTGGGATTGGTATTGGGCAGGGGAGTGGGGGTGTCCTGTGGAACTGAGCTCTTAACCTGTGGCATCTAATTCTAGCTCCAGGTAGATAGCATCAAAATTGAGTTAAACGGTAGGACAACCAGGTAGTGTCACAAAATTGCTTTATATATGGAAAGTCCACCCATCTGGTGTCAGACAGGCTGTGGGTGTGGTAGTGTTGTAGGAGTAAAGGAGAAACACTCAAGAGGAAGTTTTTAGCTTTTCCTTACAAGGCCCTAGGATAATTCTCTCCTCTTGAGTGTGAGCTGGATCTAATGACTTGCTTCTGACAAACAGCATACTGCAAAAACCGTGTCATTTCCAAGATTAGGTTACAAAAGACTATGCATTTCTTCTTACTCACCCTCTCACTTGCTCTCCCCTTCAGAGCCCTCTCCGAGGAGAAGTGAGCTGCCATGTTGGGATTAGCCCTATAGGGGCCCATGTGACAAGGATTGACATTTCTAGCAAATAGCCAGTGAGGACACCAGTGCTTCTAACAGCCATGTGAGTGAACTTGGCTGTGGATCTTCCCCCAGTGCAGTCTTGGGTTTTTTTTGTTTGGACGGGGGGGCGGGGGGGGGGGGGGTTTTTTTGGCTGCACCTGGGTTTCCCTCATAGCTCAGTTGGTAAATTATCTGCCTGCAATTCAGGAGATCTGGGTTCAATTCCTGGGTCGGGAAGATTCCCCAAGAGAAGGAAATGGCAATCCACTCTAGTATTCTTGCCTGGAGAATCCCACGGACAGAGGAGTGTGGCAGGCTACCATCCTAGGGTCACGAGAGTCAGACACGACATAGCAACTAAACCACCACCACCAGGTCTTAGTTGCGGCTTGCAGGATCTTTTAGTTGTGGCGTGTAGGATCTAGTTCCCTGACCAGAGGTTGAACCTGGACCCTCTGCATTGGGAGCAAGAGTTCTAGCCTCTGGACCACCAGGGAGGTCTCCCCACCATGCAGTTTTTAAATGACTGCAGCTCCTTCGGTGCCTTGATCGCAGCCTTGAGAGAGACTTTTAGTCAGAGGACATAGCTAAACTGTGCCTGGATTCCTGACCTCAGAAACAGTGAGATACTACTTGTCATATTAAGCCTCTAGATTTGGGGTAACTTGTCAAGCAGCAAAAGACAACCAATATAGAGGGCAAGTTTGAGGCCCAGAAGACCAGGTTTGTAGGACATAGACATGGTCCATCCATCCTAGTAATAATGGTGGTTTGGACTAGCACATAGCAGTAGCGGTGGTGAGAAGCAGTTGAAAGGAAGATAATTTTTGTAAAGTGCTTGGCGCTTAGCAGACACTGAACAACTATTCACACCATTTCTATTCCTTGGTAAGAATTACTCTAAGCAAAGACTAGAATTTCTGGAGTAGACTGAATTGATTGATCATGTTTGGGAGATGCCATGATACACTAACAGAAAATATGGCAGAGTCTCAAAAAAGTATCTATATACTTGTTACAGGTTCAACCGTGTCCCTCCACAAAAGGTAGACACAATTCAAACCCAAATATCTCATAATGAGTCTTTATTTGGAAATAGGGTCCTTGCAGACGTAATTAGTCATGATGAGGTCACATGTGAGCCCCTAATCTACTTTATCTGGTATCCTTATAAGAAGACAGCCGTGTAAAGACAGACAAAGCAAAAAAGCCATGTGAAGATGGAGACAGAGACTGGACTTATACTGCCACAAGCCAAGGAACACCAAGGTTCAACAGTCACCCTCAGAAGCTAGGAAGAGTCAAGGAAGTATTCTCCCCCAAAAAAACTGTAGATGGAACATGACACTGCCAACATTTTGATTCTGGACATCTAGCCTTCTGGACTGAGAGAATAAATTTCCATTGTTTGAAGCCACTTGCTTTGTTACTTTGTTATTGAGTCCCTATGAACTGATACAATATCTATAAATGAATGGTCTTCCTTATTCACCACCACTTCACTAGGTCTGAAAACGCTGGAGTCAACCATGTCATTCTTCAGTACCAACACAGCTCCATATTCATAAAAATGGTTAGGAAACACTTGGTACTTGGTGGCAATGATGATGGTGATTTACTCTCTTTTGTTGTTTCCAATACACATTCCATGCTGAATACACCAGAAGTCCTTCCAATTAATGCTGATGGGTGACCAGCCTCTGGTTCCCTCCAAGGGAAATGAGGCCACTAAGAGGAAGTTATCAGTAAGGGATTTATGTTTTAGTATCGTGTTTAATTATGATACAGCCACAACTGTCTCTTGCACAGGAATTTAGCATTCAAGATTTATAGCTCTTAGCACAATTTTTGCCTTTGTTTTCTCAAAGAGCCATGTCACGGTTTTACTGGACTAGCAACATTTTTTCTATTGTGTCAGGCTGCCCCCTACTGTTTTGGTCTAGTAATCTCATCCTGGCTGATACTGTTTTGAGTTGGTTTTCAAAATGTGTATTTTTCTGCCAAGGTCTGTAAACCTGCCCACTCTCATGCCCCAAAGAACACAGAACATTGGACTGGTGGGCATGTGGGAAGGGAATGTATTTTTCTTTTAATAAAACCACTGAAGAACTACAAAAATATGTGTGTGTGGGGGGGGGGGGGGGCTGGTGTTTCAAAACACTTTGTCTGCCCAGCTTAAGCTTGCAAGAGAAATTAAGTTTCTGAAATCAGAGAAGATCAGATTCTTTTCTTATTTCTTGAGGGAGGCAAACATCTTCAAGAGATATCCTTTCTTTTCATGATACAACAGCAGGGAAATTTTTTTTTTTGAGAGAAACTGATGAAACTTTAACTAATCCAACCAGCCAGAGGAAAGCAATATTACAAAAGGGGCCTCAAAGGAAAGGTGGGATTTCTTTTCCGCTTCAAAGGGGATGATGTGCAATGCTGTGAGAAGGCAGCCTGCTTGTGGGGGGAGCTCAGACTGCTGCAGACACTCAAGCCCATCCTCTTCTCCATGGGCTTCCCCAGCCAGCGCACTGCTCAGCATATGGACAGGGCCAACCCTTAGCCAGGAAGAAAAGTGACAGACTCATATGTATCCCATGGGATATATCAGTAAGGAAGGGAAGAGGGAACCTGAAATCAGTGTTTGGGCTTTAAAACACAGATCTATTCTCAAAATATTGGAGGGGGATGTTGGGGGAGAAGAAGGATCTGAAAGCAAAAGATAACTGAGAACAAACCCTGTCCTGATGGTTTAAAAACAAATCAATAAAAGGTATTGCAAAGCAGCTTCCCTGTTTCCTGATCTTTTTCCTTTTTCTTCCTCAACCCACTTGAGTGGTACCCAGCCCTCCCTCCAGGGCTTTCCATGGATGACGGGCTGACATGTGTGTTAGCCAGAGCTGTGCTTCTGTGCGACCACAGGCAGCCGCCTTCTACAGATTGGTGGCATTCTGGCCTCTACAGTAATCCTGTAACTGGCTCTCAGCAGAGTCTGGTTTCCTGTGACCCTGGTCACTACTGAGGCTTAGTTCAGCTTCCCCAGCCGCCTGCGCACCTTTCCTCTCTCTTCGGCGGCCTTGTGCCCCCCACCCCACCCCATCTGGACTGGAAGCCTCTGGCAGGGACGGGGAAGGGGCATCCTTTTGCTCTGCTGGCTCCAATAGGCACTCCTGGCCCAGGCCTGGAACAGTGCTATCTCCCAGGGCTTGCAAAGGACAGTAAGAGCTGGAGGGTGAGGTAGGGCTGAGGATGGGGGCGGCTGCCACTGGAGGGCATTTATTACTGCAGTGTGCCAGCTAAACCCATAACCTATTTCATAATTTTTTTTTTTTTTTTTTGTATCTCACATGGGCTGAGAGAATAGCCCAGCTGCTATCTTTGGCTTGCCTCCATTTCTTACTCCCATTCATAAAATCTTTAAAGAAGGCCATGTGCTGCTTCCTCACAGAGCAGATCAAGTTGTGCTCCATTCTGGAATGAACTAAATGTCCACACAGGTGGCTAGAGAGGCCATGCGCAGTCTGTCTGTCCTCTCTAACTCTCCCTACCTAGCCATCCTCCACTGTCAACCGATAAATCACATGCTCAGCCTCTCTAGAGACCCAGCCAGGCGAGGAGCTGGGGGGTCACAAATGCTCACTAAGTTTCTGACACTTGTGGGCTGAGCATTCACAGCAGTCTAAGAGACTCATGGCTGATGGCAATTTATGTGCTGCCGAGGCTCAAATTCAAATATTAAATCCCATGACACTAGTATTTGGGAGCTAGTCATTAATAAGAGAGCCTAGCTAGCTTCGTCAGTAACCTTAAAAACACATTATCATTCTTTTCTTAATTTTCCAGGAACTGTACAAATTACTTGCTATACATCATTTCATTGAACCATGATTATCCCCATTTTATAGATAAGAAAATGAAGATTCACAAAAGTTAAGAAAATTTCTCCAGATCATAGTCAATGAGATTGAGCAAGACCATGGAGCTAGTACATATGATTGAGTAGATCACATAGCTCAGTAGTGTGACGTGAGCCAGCTCACACGACTGAGATCCAGGAGTAAGGGTAAGGCAGAAAGATCACAGGCTTGCCAGTGAAGAGTTGGACTGCAGATCTGTCTTACTCTGAAACTCAAGCAGTTACTCATCTGAATTCTGCCTCCTCTACCGTTCACTCCTGACTTTGGGCATGTGGCAATGAACAGGACGCCACAGAATTTTCTTACCATGTGGAAAATGGCCCTAGGTACTGGAAATACCTTTAGTGAACATTGAAAAGATTATGTGATTGTGGTTTAAGAATACACAAGGATTACACTTAGCTCTGAATAGAAATACAAATCTGGAAAAGGCCCGGAGTCTGGTTTAAAACAACTCTACTTTCATGAATTTGAGAATTTTTAAAGATGAGGGTGCCAAGGGTTTTTATATACACAGAGAGAGAAAGAGGTCAAAATATTATATATTATTATATATTATTATATATTATATACATATTAGTGTCTATAGATATGGATATCAGTATACAGATAAGACATATTTCTGGCTCTCAGAAATATAATAGCATCAGCATAGCATGAGAAAGAAAAATGAAAGCTCAATTATATAGTGATGACTGTGCACTAAAGGCGTTCGGAACTAGAAGTATATTGAAGCCTTTGGAGCACATGCCTGAAAAAGAAAAAGTGAGTGAGGCTTCCAATTATGAACACAGTTTAGGTGGCTGGAAGGGAAAGGAACAGCTTTCAGGTGGATGAAACAAACTAAAACAAAACTAAGAGGAAAAAATGAGCATAACACACATGGGAAATTTTAATCAAGATTATAAGCTCCCTGGGGGCAGGAAGGTGTCTTAGCTTTTTCACAGTTCTAGCTCCAGAGACACAGCACATGATGGATACTAAGAAATTATTAGTTGATGAAAGAAGGGGGGAAAGAAAATAAGGAGAGGAGCAAGAGAGAACTCAAATGAAAAAAGACAAGAGAGACAGAGTAGAAACATCTGACCACAGAAGAAGGTGTGTGTTGGAAGTAGAGAGAAACAAGGTTGGTAAGGTTGGATGGAACAGAGAGGGAAACGGCCTTGACCAAAGTCAGGACAAAGAGTCTGACTTAAAGTAATGGGCAACAGACCTAGAAAGCAAACTTATGGCTGTCAAAAGGGAAAGGGAGTAAAGGGAGGGATAAATTAGGAGTTTGAGATTAGCACATACACGTACATGTATAAAATAAAAACAAGGACCTACTAAATAGCACAGGGAATTCTACTTGATATTTTGTAATAACCTATAAAGGAAAAGAATCTGAAAAATAATAGATAGGTAGATAGAAATGTAAAAAAAAATTAAGCTGCTTAACTACTCTGAAGCCTCAGTTTCTTCATCTGTAAAATTTAGCCCACTTCATAGGGTTGCAAAAGAAATTAGATGAGATAATGTATGTACATGTACTCAGCACAATGAGAACTCAATGAATTATAGTTTGTTATTATTGTTATCATTGTTACTACTACCATTTACCATTTATTAATATGAGAATTCGCTAACTCAAAAATAAATCCAACTACAATTCGTTCAGAGTGGTAAAAAAATATTACCACACTTTAATATAGTAGTTGAACATTTGTTTATTATTCTGAACAACAGAATATGTACCTTCTTTTCATAGTTGAGAGGCCCAGAAATGTGTGAAAACTAGAAACTAAGAGCAAAAAAGTAAATGGAAAACTTGAGTTAATTTCATATTCTTCAATCCCTTAAGGTTCGATCATTTGAGAAGCAAGCATAAGACAGAAGTGTGTGTGTGTGTGTGTGTGTGTGTGTGTGTAATACTGTCCAACAATCTCCCTGTCCTTTTAACCTCAAACAGCCTATGCTCCTGAAGCACCCAGAGGTCAGCACCCTGGGAAGGGCTGGCACCTTTCTTTAGGAAACGGCCCTTCTCCATTTGTTTTAGGAGAATTAGTAGGGAGGAGGTTGTTTTTCTATTTTGTATGTGTGGTAAAACATCTTTTCTGTTATGAAATAATGACAATCATACATAGTAGATTTTAAGTGGTGTTACATGGCAACCCTAAAAAAAGAAAAAGAAAAGGCCATTCCACTGTTTCCCCTCCAGATGGCCTTCTGGCACTTTATACATCTCTCAAAAAATTGAGGAGGCACAAGTGTTTTCCTTCTACAAAAGGGAATATCTAGTCATGCGGAGCCGAGGCCACCTCGAATCGCTGTCCTAACATTCTTTGCAAAATTCCTCCATCTTCTCAAAGTTTCGCCTTTTTCCTGTCTTCCCACAGTGCAAGTCCTATCAGAGACAAATCCTAGAGAGCCACACTGAGAATGCCGGTCTTTTTCAAAGAGTTACTTCGACTTAGGCTATAAAAAGCAGTCAGAGACATTGAACGCTAAATATTTGAGGATGGATGAATGGTTAGAGGAATAGAAGGAGGGGAGAAAGCTCCTTAAAATCAACCACTTCATCTGACAAATCAAGAAAATTCTCTGTTATAGGGAAAGAGGCATGAAAAGGAACAGTTGAATTGTTAAAAGCTAAATCTGGATTTCAAAGAGAAAATTTTTTTTATAAAACTAAGGCAAT